GGACTTAATTACATCACTTTATTGCTGAGGGACTCTTCATATTATGCGCACCCAGTTGAATGTTACTGCGCCCCATAGCCGCTTACGCACGCATTGCGATGACAGATCTTTGTTGCGTCCGACTTTCTCTGAAGATCTGAATTACTGTACTGTACCATATTTATGAAAAAAATTTCTAATTTTCTGGCCTTTTGGGTCTTATTTTAAAGGAAACATTTGAGTACAATTTGGTCACGAATTGAATTAAATCCCACGGAATTTCGGCTGTTCATCATTTCTTGAATTCTAATTGAGTAAAATGTTGAAACCCATTATATGATGTCTGGTTTGTTCCAGAATTGTAAAGATACGTACATCAATTGAGTATTTTAAAAGTGCATGGAATGAGTGATTGTATTAATTTATCATATGAATTTTTCACTGAAGTTTGTGACAATTTTCTTGTTGGTTTTGCCTTCCTTTTTGAAATCAGTGGTAATTGAGAGAATTTCATGGATTTTTTCATAATACTGTATATCATAATATAGACCCAGACAAACCGACCTCAAACTATTACAGGAATACTCAACAATATCCTCATCAGGCATTAATTAGATGAACATAATATCCAGTCTAATACAGTACTACAGCAGAAGCGATGATCTGAAGCGGAGTTGGCTATTCAAATAATATCTTGTGAAGCATTAAAATTTAATGCGAAACTATTTTTACCAGTTGCAGCCGTAATGTGGATTGAATTATATATTTTCATACTTCGGTTATTGTTTGTATATTTGAATATATCTGACGAATATGTTAACCCAGCGAATGATATGTTGCGCCGAGCGGTTCGGAACCGAGCCTCCAAGCACTCCTCCACTGATGACCCACATGTGACTTTCTCTTCCCCTTACTTCGTGTTGCTCCTTCCCTTTTGTTCAACTATGCGTCTCGCTGAGCTTCTTTCAAGTTCTTCTGCTTTGCTTCCTGGTGTTGTTCGGATGTGATGCTGGCGTTCCTTGGGTGCCTGAAGTTACCGTATCTTATCCGGTTCTGTATTTCCATGACATCTTCCAGGTCGGTTCACCAGCCTGTTTCTCTCTCGCCCTCAGTGCGTGTTTTCGCTTTCAGAATCCGTTGAAAAGGTGAAAGCCTGTCCTGAGACGATTTTGTAAATTTCCTCCTTCTATTGAGCAAGCCGAACTTCGCGGTTAGTTCGGCTCTCCCAGCAGTGGTGAAAGCAGGAAGTCGTTTTCTTTTCCCATCGGAGTATCTATCTGCTGAACCGTAACCGGGAAAGAATCCCATCTTATTCCTCATCAGTGCCGTGCTGAATTCTCCTTGTCTGAACCGAATGTCTTACACAGGCACAGCATATTCTTGTGATATCAATACTGTATAGAGTTTCTCTTGATGAAGCAATCTTGGTAGGGAGAAAAGCCCTGCGCGAGTGATTCGTGACTTGAGGAAAAGATGATGCGTTTCGTTCTTCAAGATGGTGGATGTTGAGGGAGTAATCAAAAGTGTTGCGCCTTCAAACTTATTGTCTGCTTGTACAAGTGCCGATGTCTGATTATTAGTCGGTACTGATGGTCCCTATAATAACGTTGAGTTGAGGTACAAGTGATTCGTGACTGCGTTTACCCCTTTCGTGTTTTTCGAAAAATCGGAAATTCTCTGTACAGAAGGTCGAATGCTTGTGGTTTTTGAGCTGAAGTACTGTGTAGCGAAAGTGCCACTTTTTCGGAACCTTTTTTTTTTTTAAAGAACCTTGTCTCCCTTATGAAATTGTGTAATATGTGGATGCTACTTGTCTATGTGTTCAGATTTTTCGTGAGGTTTCCTGAGTACTGCTTTGTTGTGTGAGAAACTGAGGTCGTGATCCGGCATTTGTAATTCTATTTTTCCGTGAGGCTTTCGTCCTGGCTTTTTTGAAGGCAGTGTTCCGCTTGGAGCTGGCAGTTGGCGTTCGTGACTTGAGCCACGCGTTTCCTCAAGTTCCCCTACATATTGAAAGTATAAGTTTTTTTTTGCTGACTAGAGTGAATCTGGGCGCTTGGTGCTGTGCAATTATTCCCCCCAGCAGTAGCTATTCTATGTGGGAACTACGAATGTTCTTTCAGTTTTTTCTTCATTTCGGCTGACCTGAAACGTAGGCTGTAGAAAGTTTTCCTTTTTCGATGGCCAGAATTGAATGGTGCATCTGTTGCTGGGCTAAACTTTTTATCTTGAGTCCAATATCAAGAAAATCGACAAACTTCCGTGAACTTGTTGACAGATCCAGGCCCGAAAATTAACCTTTGCTTGACTGATGACACCTCTCAGGCAACGAACTACACGCTTCCAAATTTCGTGTACATCACTTGGGGACAATGGGAGCAATAGTGGTCCTTGTCTTCTAGGAGTTTTTTCAAGACACGAACACCTACATTACAACTCTACAATGCCACCCATCTCTTCTGCCTCACACCAATTAAAATAACCTCCGTTGCGGGAAACGCGATTTTGCTCGCGTCACCGACTTAGAGTGCTTCACTATAGTGGTTCTGGACAGCGGAGATTGTGAGGATCATGTGCACGATTTTCGCATTTTCCTGCTTGTGGTGTGTGACCTTGTTCTGAGCTGGAAGATGTGATTCGAGGCTTGTCTGTGGCTTCCGCGTTTCGTGCTTATTCTGAATTTTTTTTTCAATTTCCGAGGCTGTTTGAGCTTCAATTTATGATTGATTCAAGGACTCGAGTTGTGGTCTAATATGTAATTATGTTGTAAAAAATGTCACACGTTTCATTGCTACTTTTACCGATCATTCGAAGCTGTCTGTTGATTTCCGTGTTACTCGTCTTTAAATTCGGATTTCCGAGGCGTATTCAGAACGCGTTTTTATATTGTTAGTTCAAATTTTATGGAAAACTTCGTTGTACCGTACATAAATTCGAATTTTCGAGGGTACTTGTTGAGCGAACTTTTATTTTTATTCAAAACTTCGTGCTCCAGGATAATAATCAACTGAATTATTGTTATTCGTCTCGCTTGATTGAATTGAACAGTTCCAGCGCGGAAGTTCATTGACTGAAAGATGTTAGCCGTCATTCGGTTCAAGTCGCTGTTGATTAAATTTTCGATTAATCTAGGAATTGTGATATTGCTTGATATGTACTTGATTGAATTTCTGATCAAAAATAGGTTTTGAGCAAAATTTCGTCAATTTTTCGTGCTCGAACGTAATTGAGGAAATGAAAGACGGCATTAAAAGATATGATTGCTGGTTGCCATATTTTTCCAATTTCACTTTTCAAGCCATCGTGTGATTAATATTCATTGCAGAAATGTTCGAGTGCCCGAATCTGTTGTGCCGAATAGTAATCATGAGATTTTTTCATGGTGATCGAGTTCAGCATAGAATTCTGGTTTGACAGGACCTATAGAAAGGTTTATGGGATAGATATTGGAATACATCTCTATAGACGTCAACGACGAACACGGTCTATTAATCCAACAATTGAAGTCACAAACAACGCATATACTGTACAAATAAGTTGTCAGTTGAAAAAAACATGAAGAGGTAGTGTCTGTCGGAAATCAGAATTAATGCTCTGATTGTCTGGGCCCCTCCTCACCCCCATTTAGCACCTCTCTGGATTTAGAGAACAAAAGAAATGTGCTTGGATTAGCAAGGGTTAGGTGTCGCCCGCATCGGGGACCTTACTCCATGTTAATTTTCTTCACTGCTGTGTCACCACACGTCCCAAATCAGCTATTTGAATTTTTATTTCATAGGTGTCGCATGCATCGCATTACACCTCCTTTGCTTTCTAGTATGCCTATGCCTTCTTAAATATAGGAATGAACACTGTATTATTTTTACCTGGTTATGGTTTTATCTAAACTCAATGTGGTTGTTTTGTAAGTTTTTAGGGTTAGGACAGCTGAAATATGGCATGTGTTGGCAAGATTTTTGCAGCAGATACATTTCAAGTGAAACTGTGTCATTTGATTTTCTTTTCATTTATTTTAGATTACTTTAAAGTCTCAATGTTTTGAGATGAGAGGAACAATTTATATTTTCATCAGCTTTAATTTGAATCCCCATCTGTTCACAGTGCTTCATTTAGTAGCCATGTGGTTGAGTGTAATGTCTGCTACTTGGAGCTGTATACTTTTGGGTTCAAATTTCAGTTCTTCATGACCAAGTGGAAAAAAATATTCTGAAGGTTGGACCAGACATCTGGTTCAACCCTCAAGAACTGATCTTGGAAATGCAGCATTAGTGATACAGATGTCACTGCTGAAACGGATCATAAGCCCCTTTTTTATTGACCGTTTTTGCATTGTACTTTTATTTTGGTGGTTGCAAATGGAAGAATGTTGACTTTTTGGAGAATGCAGAACTTTTTGCAGATTTTAGTATTTCTTGTACTGTACAGATGGACTTCCTCTCTGCAATAAAATTCAAGGGATCAGAGATAAATTGTAGAGAGAATTTTGTGGTTGAGGGAGAGAAACCTGGACCAGAACAAAAATCATTCTGCAGAGAAAATTGTAATAGAGAGATTCCACATGTATGTGGATTTTTTTCAAGAAGAATGTTTGACTGAATAATTTTCACATTTTTCATAATTTTGCTGAAAGAACGCGAGAGCTCTTGGATAACATGGGCGAATTTTTTTTGTCTATTTGATTTTACTACAAGTTTAACTGATTCTCTATTTTATTTCTGTGACCGTCTGGGATTTTTCTTTGTTTCTTGAAACCATAAACAGTAATTGGGCTGACAGAAATAAGTCGCAAATTTCAACATTTTTTTTTTTTTGGACGCGAGCTCTTTTATAGGAGAATATTGGCAAATTTTGTTATATTCTCCTCAGTTCCACTTTTTTATCTTGTTTTCTGTCAGCGAATCTGCTGTTGATTCCTGCGACTGGGTGTGTTTCTCTTTTTTTTTCTTAATCCCGCGTTATTTATTTTTCCTCATCTCCCGTGATGATAGGGACAGAGAAGGAGAGACTGGGGTGGAAGTGGGATGACGCTCGACGCGGTGCCGACGTCGCAGTCGGTGTCAATCCTCCCTGATGTCGACAGTGTCGCGTGGTTGCCAATAATGGTGTCGAACGGTGGCGCCTCGAACCTCAATAATAACTCGTATGATCTGAATGCAACGACGACATCGGCCGAATCGTCACTGACGTCCGTCATGTGGGACTCTGTGGTTGCTGCTGTGGTTGGAG